AAGAGTTGCTGTGGTCATGGTGTCTCTTGACAGCAGTAGAACCCCTAGCTAAGACACTAAAACAAAACCTTTTTTTCCTTACAAGATAGTTACCTTTGGCATTTTGTCATAATACTACCATGGTTACGCCCCTATACCCACTGTTTCTAGGAGGCCAGGGTTGGCAGAACCTAGTAGATGGGCAGGAAGTGGCATGTTGAAGCAAAAGGCCCCGTAGTCCTCCCATCTGGGGGCTACTTTCATGGCCTAGGGTAAGATGACCAGTACTCGAAGGGTAATGATGACACCTCACAAAGAGGCAGAGAGGACGACCACAGGTGACCTTGACATTTTACTTCATTCTGCCCCCTGGTGGCTGAGTGGTTGAAGCACTTCTCCCTTGAGACAAGGGGGCATGCAGTGAAGGCTGACTGCCTGGCCAGGAAGCAGGGATCCGTGTAAGTATAGCTACAAGGTAGGACTAGAACCTAGTACCCTGGGCTCAGAATCCAGTACTCTTTCCAGGACTGGGTTCTAGATCTTGGAGTTGAAATGTGAGCTCTTCTTTAGTGAACTGGGATCCCTACACCCTGTCCTATGCTCTTCTCTACTCCCCAGGGTCCCCGCTTCACACGGGCCTCTCTGTTTTGCAGGGCTGTGGTGTGCTAGGAAGGTTCCTCACGGCCTCTGCCCCATGGTTGGAGTGAGCAGTCACGCAGCCGTGTGGAGGCGCACCCCCTGCCTTACATGCAAAAACATTCATTAAGCATTTTAGAGAACAATGGCAAAGAGAAAAACACTCATTAGAAGCAGAAATGGTTTGCAAAGAAGCCAGCAGTCTGCTGGGAAGCGTGGCCAGAAATGGGGCTTATTCTCATGGGAAGCTGTGCTCAAAGGGATGGATTATGGAGGCCAGGGAGCCTGAGGCTTGAGGTCCTGAAGGGGGGATCCTTTCTGTTTAACTCTGTTTATCCCTCAGCACTGCTTCTGGCCCTAGTAAAGCTCAGTCCTGAAAGCCTCAGTCAGAACCATGCCAGGCAGTGGGAATAGAGAATAAAAGATCACTGTTCTACCCCTTACCTGACTTATATGTGACTGGAGTGTTGGCCCTAGTCTCTGTGGACCTCAGAGACCCACCAAAAATGCGGTGACTGATCTCCATGGATCCTGTGATCCCGCTGGCTGTGACACCGAGGCCAAGGGTGAAACAAAGATAGTGTGTGTGGTTCCTGCAGAGGTAACCTTCTTCAGGTTATCTGAATCTCAGGATCTGGCCGGTTGGAGACGTGGGTGGGTTTCAGCCCATTTGGATCCACAGTGCAGCCTGGGATGCTGTCTTGGGCACAAGTGGCCCTACTCTGCAGCACACATGAGATGCCCAGTGTCTCCCACAGCACTGGTACCCATCAGTCATGGCAATGACCTGTGAGCTAACTAGGATCCAGCACCCTACATTCTAGGACTTGCTTGCTTGTGTCTTAGGCTGAATTATAGTAGAACCTTCCCTAGCAATGAAGAAGGGGAGAAAATGATACACACAGATGAACAGAAAGCAGCACCCCAGAAGAAAGTCAGATGGCTCAAAAAATTCTAACTCCATATGACTCAGGTTGACCCTCCGCATCTTGGCGCTGACTCCATGCTCCTGCCATTGGTCTTTGGTTTGCTCAGCGCTGCCATTGAGGGGATTTGTTCAGTTAAGTTGTGACCTTTTGGACATGTTGACCCCTGCCCTGCCTTGGTCAAGGTTCTGTGCTTGGCACAGAGGGATACAAAGGTGGGGAGTTCCTCTGTTGGGGAGCTCCACTATGAGTAAAGAGTTCCCAGCAGATTTCTCTGAGTGTAGAGCAGAGGCCCCCGTTTTGCCAAATGTCTTTAAGGTAGCCTCTGCTGGGAGATATTCAAAGATAGAATTGAGCCATGGCTATGAACAGGAGCTGGTGACTGAGCTGAAGCCACAGTGGCCAGTGGTAGGGGATTCCTTGAGGAATAGCCTTTATCCAGAGGCCTCCTACTGAAAGTCCCGCCCTTTCCAGAAGGCTCTCTGGCTTCAGTCATGTTACTCAGCAGATGGTGGGCTGTATGCTCCTGGATTACCAGGCTTCTTCTTCAGCACCTCCCCAGGGCCTGTCATCCTGCTCTCATGGGGCCCTGCCCACACCTTCACACCCACCAATCCTCTTTCATGGTGCTTGGTATTGGAGGCTAACCCAGGCCAAATTGTATCTGGGCATCTTCTTTAATAGCAGAGAAATTAAACCTGAGCATGTTGTCATAGTCTGAGTGTTCTAGCACTAGAACAAACTGCTCTGAGCAGCACCAGCTGCTGTTGGAATGCCTGGTTTAGAGTGGACAGGACATGGCTTGAATTAATTGCTTTGGCGTAAGGTCCTTAACTTCTTGTCACTTGGTCTGACTGGGGAAGGTGATTACACTCTGGGCACCTCACTTCAGGGATTTCTGTAGTGCCTTGACCAGGATGCAGCCCCGTATGCTGTCACTTTGATCATAGGAAGAGCTGTGTTTGAGGACCCAGAGGTGAGGAATGTGGGCAAAAATTCTCCCTGGCATGGGATGGGAAATGAAGATGTCCAGAACATCCAGGTTGATCCTGTCACACTGATCTTTGGTGCAGGTTGGGTTGGAGTCTCCAGCTTCCTGTCAGCTCAAGTATGACAAGCTAGACACAAGCACAAGAACCACCCCAGGCGTATCTTCAGTACCCAGAGGACAGATCATAGAAGCAGGGAGCGCGGGCAGACAGAGGACAGAACTTTCCTCTTTGCTGCAGGGGCATCTGGGAACTACCATAACACAGCTATGGAGAAGAGACCTCAGCTCTCATACTGCCCAAAGGTGTCTGCTTCCAGCAGAGGAAGTTCAGTGGAATTAAAAAACCACAAGACCACAATGGGGTGAGAAGAAGCAGTGGAGACAGGTATAGAGTGGACATGGAGGAGGTGGGCATCTTTAAGGAGAGGTGGCACCCTTAAGGACTGTGGGAAAACTGTGAGCAAGCCAGGAGCTGACCCATTAGGAGTCTCAGCCTGGTGTGGCACAGAGGGCAGGTCACAGATGTATTCTAATCAGGGGCATAGATACCAAAAGAAAAAGTCACAACCAGTGCCAGGGGGCTGTAGGTCTAGGAAGTAGTTTCCAAAAGCCACAGGATGCTTGGAGTAAATGAAGTTTCTGGAACCCAGCACCTGAACCGGGGAACCATGATCATGTCCTAGCCAGGCCAGAGCACTGCCCTCAAAGCAGAGTCCCCACACTCAGCTGCCAGTTTTCTAGTGAGGAAACTCTCGCCCGATGGCTTAGAATCTTCGGAGCATTTTCTCCTAACCAAAGTAGCACTCCATGACTACATAAACCACCCTCAAAATGACACAGCTCTGAGACATTAGAAAAATAGACACTCCTACATCAGCCTCCAAGGGACGCAGAGGCAGGAAAACTGACAAAGGAGCAGAACATCTGGTCAACCAGGATGTCATTCCCTAAGGAATGTACCAAGCCACAGACAATTAATTCTGAGAACTGGGAGAGAACAGAATGGCTGGTGGCTACAGCTGGGAACCAGGGTAGTAGGGCTCAAACATGGCTGGACCTTGGCCTCCCTATCCAGACTGCTCCAAGCCCATGGACACCTTCCAGGCCATTCTCCATGGAAACAGTGGCCTCTCTGTGCTTGGTTCTCTTTAAGGCTCTTTTTTCTGCACACATGGGATGAGGCTTGCCAGTTGTTTCCCCTCTGTCAGTTTCCCCTCAGTTAGGACCCTCAGGTCCTTTGGGCCACCAAACCCCATGTACTTGATAGCTTGAACAGGAGCAGGCACAGACAGTGGAACCACAACAATGAGTTCTCCAGCTGCAGCTCCTGGACAGAGGAAGTAGGGCAAAATTTCTTGTAAGAGGAATGGTAACAGGTCCACTGTGTTGGGTCTTACGAGAAGACTTTGTATAACAGAGGGCTAACTTGGGAAGAGACACAGGTTCAGTCCCACTGGATAGATCCTCAGTCCTACACCCCTCACAGTACCATACACTCCAGGACTTCTAGTAAGAGGCCTTTGTTTAGCTCTGCTGTGCTAACACCACAAACGAAGGCTGCATATTCAGAACCACGGACAGCGTCTATCTAGCGAGCACCACGGACAGAGGCTGCCCATCTAGCACCATGGACAGCGACTGCCAAGTCAGCACCGCGGGCAGAGGCTGCTATCTAGCACCACGGACAGAGGCTACCTAGCTGCACCACAGGTGTAATTTGTTTAACCATAACCTCAGGGGTTGTCTAGCCATCAACTTGGACAGAGCTGTCTATCCAGCACAATAGACAGAAGCTATATATCCAGCACCACGGACAGAGACCATCGATCCAGCACCACGAACAAAGGCTGCTTAGCTATACAAGAGACTTAAGCTTTCTTTATCCATGACCACAGAGGCTGTCTAGCCACGACAATGGACAGAAGCTACTCTTCACACGTTTGGCAGATGCTTCCACCCACCTCTGTCTTTAAGGCAGGCATCACAAACCAACCACAGGGCTCATTCCCAAGGAGTCATGACCTGCTCCTCCCCAGCAGCATGCCAGTCAATCCCACTGCACCTAAAAACCCCCCTTGAAACATGTTTTCCACATGTACCTTCTGACTAACCAAGAGAGCAAATGAATGCCTGGTTTGTAGTCAAGAGGAATTTTATAGTGAGGGCAGACACCTCTTATTAATCCTCATCAACAGGCAGCCAGGGACCTTGGTGCTCCAAGGCATCTACTCATTTTCTCCCTGGATGAACAAGGTGTACCCTGGCCACGAGGTCTCTCTATCTCTTTTCTGGAACCTCACAATCAGAACAGTCAACAAAGAGCCTTGGCACACACTGCTGAAAGCTAGGGCCAGGGCTTTCAGCCCAAAGTTGCTGTCACACGCAGGAGCCCCATGCCCCCTCAGCACCCTCCATGGGCCCTTCCCGAGTACCGGAGACGCAAGAAGAATCCAGTCCCAGCCACCTACCTGAAGGAGCCAGTAGCACCTCCGGTGGAAAGTGGGGATGATGGAGGAATGGACATAGCAGCCGTACAAGCACTAGGGAGAGAGGAAAAACGAGAGTTCAGTTGGAAAGAGGGAAGGAAGGAAGGAAGACAGTGCAACAGAGAAGGAGCAAGATGGTCATGCCACTGTTGGCAGACCTGGGGAAACTGAGGTACAGGGTGCACTCCAGGGATAGGGTCTAAGATGGATTGTGGGGCATGCCAGTAGAAATATAGGCAACAGGCACTGTATCCTGTGGAGGACTAGAGGCACTTGAGAACTCAGAACTTCCAGGCAGCATTTAGGGGCCGAAGTCACAATATTCATTGTTATAGCTTAGGTTGAGATCCTTGGGTATATGGGAAGTACTGAAGGTTATCTTGTGGATTAAAACACACACACACACACACACACACACACACACACACACACACACACACAATACTGCCCCAGGGTAGTCATCCTTTGTTGATATGAGTCCAGTGCTGACAGGAACAAGGTTGAGCAACAGAGAGGTGAATCTATAGATGTAGGGGTACCACCTGCCATACATCCTACTTTTATTTTTGAGCAAGGGTTGGTTGGTTTGCTCCTGTGTTTGCTTGTTTGCTTCTTGTATTTATTACACTAGATTTGGTTGGAAAATGGAGGGTAGGGTCACTCATGGTCAGGGCTGAGCTGGGAGGAGGGTCAGTTCTCAGGTGCCTATCACCTGGGCTACCCAGGTGGAGTTGACTGTTGGGTGAACTGCACTGAAGCCTGTTTCTGGGTGGGAGCAGCTGATCTGCCTACAGAGATTAATTCTTGGGGATAAGCATGTTAGGGAGATGGGAGAGAACCCAAGGTGGTCTGTCCATTAAAAACCATCTGGAAATTTGCATGGGAGAGAAATATGCCAAGCCACATACAGCTCACCAATTTGGCAAGGGCTGTTTCAGGGTGCTTACTGATGGGTCCACCTCAGAGTCTGTGCCAAAGTCTTTGCTTTGGGCTTATAAGTGAACCAACCTTCATTTTTTTTTCATCCTCAATTCCTCTAATTTGTCAAGGTAAATGGTCCAGAAAGGGTGGAGCAGAGAGAGAAGGAAGAATTGGCAGAGCTGCCCAGGACACCGAAGGACTGTCACCATCTCCCATCACAAAAGCCCCCTCCCACACAACAGCACTCCAGAGAGGAATGGCAGGCAGCTTCCCCTTGGCATGTCTGCAGGCATCTTTTATAGCTCTCCCCCCACAAAGACCAAGTGCAATTTGGCTTGACTCAGAGTCCATTTGAGCCCTGCCTGTCTGATTAGCAGAGTTGAAAGAGAAATCATTTTGGACTCTGGGATTCAGGCTGCAAGAAAATCAGATTTCCAATATGTTAGAACTTTTACAGATCGCTGTCAGCTGGGATTTAAGCCCTGTACAAACCAAACAAACAAAGCGGAAATTAATTTAAACGATTCCCTTGCAGTTCTTGCTCATGAAATGTATTTATTATTAAGAAGGCAATATTCTTCCCTGACTTTCCTGGTTTTCAAGTTGCTATGTTTTGGTTTTGTGATTGGAACTTTTTTTTTGATCACCCATTTCTGGCTAGGCTAATTCTTGTTTGGACTTTTTTTTTTTCTGGAAGTGTTTTGTTAGCAATGAAACAAGCAGCCGCTTGTGGCTTTCTGTGATCTCTCTCCCTCATGGGGTCCACGCTTCTTATGGGCAGTTTCTTTGTTTGTCTCATGTCATGAGCTAAGCAGAGGGAGACATGGATGGTTCCTGCCTGTGCCCTCTCACTGTTTATTCCTCTCCAAACCTGAAGTGAACAAGGTTGACTTTTGGTGTCATATCTCCCTCCAGTGCCTTCTTGGCACTGTGGACCTTTACCTTCATGAAACCCACATTTGGGCCATGAATTTGCCAAGCATCTGGTCTGCCTAGCTTATGAGAGTTGAAAAGAAGTAAGCAGGGACACCCTCTCCAGACATCCGAACCCCTATTGCCAACAACTCGTCTACCCAGAATTGCCTGGAATCACTGGGTAAGCAAAATGAAGCTCAAAAGAAAAATAGGTGCAGGGCTTGTTCATTTAAACTAGAGGAGCCCTCTGGCCTCACTCAGAACCACAGGATTGTTTTTCAGATGTTCCCCTGTTCCTCTAACCACCACCATGTTCCCATGTCTCCTGTCTCATCAGAAGAGAGATATGAAGTTAGGAATACGGATGAGAGGGAACACAGCCTTGGCTATATCTTGACAATGTGGGCATTGTGTGGGGAGAAACCAGGAGCCCCAGGGTATGAACCTCCATCAGCTTATGAATTACCCTATGAATCTTACTGTCTGTCTTTCTGACCAAGGCTTTGGGAATCTTACTAAGGCTTCTGGGTAAAGCTGAGTACCTCTCTCCTTCCAGGACATAGGGCTCCCAAAGCTTTGTATGGGCAATGACGGGGAAGAGTAAATATTTCATTTTCATTTGTGGTACACAGTAAGATGAGGACTTTCCTCACACATGAGATGAGACTCTGGACGTGGTCTGATGTGTTTACACTCAAAGGGTTTTTTCGCTGTTGATTTCAAGAGACACATTTTTGTGTTGAGTGATGGATTCCTGTCCTCATAGGGGAAGGAACACACAGCAATGTGTTCAGGGAGGTGGATGCTGTGTAGGCAGAAGATCTAACTTAGATATCCCACTCACTCACCAGCTCAGAATCTCATCATCATTCCAGGCTGGAAAATTGGTGTCACTCCTATGATTTCTGTCAGTGTGGCCATGAGAGATGAAATGGGACAATGGAATGGCTAGGTCAGTCTCTGAGCTCAGCATATGACAAACATGCTGCTGGCTCTCATGAGGTTGGAGAGGCTTCAGAGGGGGCTGGGAAGCCAGAAAAATGAGTAGGGTTGACTGAGTCAAGAGACAGAGATGGGTAAGAGAGCATCAACGACAGGACAATCTGGAGGCAAGGATGAGGTGAGATGGTGCTGAGGAAGAACAAAGATGGACAGATGGACAAATGGAGTGTAGAGTGCCCTAAGTTAGTTATTAAGGTCAGATCACCAACAGTGACAGCAAGGAGGTGGCTTTGTTCCCTATCTAGGAGCAGTGAGAAGCCAGGGAATGTGATGGTCACACTTGGCATATGGTCACTGTGGCAAAAATGTGGCTGGGGAACAGCAACGGCATAAGGACAGATCTAGGGAAGGCAGGGGTAGGGTAGGGTTGAGACAATGACAGCAGTAGTAAGAAATAAGCACATTAGCAAGGAGTAAGGATGGCATCCAGGTTCTAGGGGGCCAGTGGGTACATGGCTGTCCTATCCTCAGGGACAGTGGCTCCTGGGTGCAGAAGACCTGGAGGATTGGTTCTAGATTCCTTCTGGGTGATGCTGAGGAGCTTATGGGCATCCATCTCAGGAAAGTGTGTGGGCTGGAGAGGTGTGTGACTGGTCAGTGGAGTGGGAACCGTGTTCAGGAGGGGAGGTGGGCTAAATACTTGGGATCCCCACTGTGTGTCCCTTTCTCCCCATATGTTCACACCAGCTCAGGTTACCTGCTACCCTGCGCCATCTCAGCTTGCTTGCCGCGACCTATCCTCGCCTGGACTTCCCAGCCCTTTCACTGATCTCAAGCCCGAGTGGCGATGATATCACTGAGCTGATTGAGGATTAATTGTGCAACATCTCACAAGGCAGTATATCAATCTGTCCCTTCACCCGCTCCCTCTAAAAGCAATCAGCTTTGTCTGTTGAGGTTTGTGCTGTACAAACTCCAGGCCTGATGTGATCAGGCTGCAGGGTGTGCCTGGGGCCTACTCAGGTGAAGCTTTCCATTTTAGGGGCTGGGATGTAGCTAGAAGAAGCTCTCTATCCAGGTCTGTGGAGGTGTGTGTGTGTGTGTGTGTGTGTGTGTGTGTGCATGCACACATATGTGTGACTGGGTGTGAGTGTGTGTGATTGCATATATGTGGGAATGTATGTTTCTGTGTGTAAGTGTATGTGTGTGATTGTGTGTGGCTGTATATGTGAGTGTGAATGTGTGTGTGTGTGTGTGTGTGTGTGTGTGTGTGTGAATGTGAGCAAGTGTATATCCATGTGGGTAAACGAGAGTGTGTGCCGTGGCTTCCCCGCTGTACATAAACCCAGATTCACAAAGACAAATAATGCAATTCTCTCTCATATTAGAATCCCTTGTTGAATTTTTATATGTGTGTATTTATATGGGACTGAGGATGGGCAGAGGCTAGGCCCATGGGAGGAGAATAAAGAGGCTTTAAAAGAAAGGGCTGTCAGAGGGCTCAAGGCCATGACGGGGGAACCCACAGAGACAGCTGACCTGAGCTTGTGGGAGCTCATGGACTCTGGACCAACAGCTTGGGGGGCTGCATGCTGCTGACCTAGGCCCTCTGCCTGTGATGGTTTGTAAGGCTTGGTCTGTTTGTAAGCAGTAAGATTAGGACCTGTCCCTGGCACTTAGCTGGCTTTTGGAAACCTGTTCCCCATGCTGGGTTACCTTGCCCAGTCTTTATGCAGGAGGAGGAGCTCCGCTGTGCCTCAACTTGATATGCCATGCTTTGTTCAAGCCCATGGGACGCCCGCCCTTTTCTGAAAGGAGATGGAGGAGAAGTGGATGGGGAGGGGGATAGATGGGAGGCAGAAGTGGGGGATGGGAGGGGAAACTGTGGTTGTCATGTAAAATAAGTTTAAAATGTTAATAAAATAAAATAAAACAAAGAGGGGGCTATATCACAGAACACATGTGCTACAGAAATGGAAGGGGAGAAGGGGTAGGAGGATAAAATTAGGGATGGGACTGGAAATCAGGGAGAGAAGCAGGTGGGGGTAGGAATCAACCAAGAAAGCCTGTTGTTTTATATACCAATTACAAAACAAATGTATATGTGTGTGGTGGTGGGGGTAGACACATAAGAGACAGAGACAGAGACAGAGAGAGAGAGAGAGAGAGAGAGAGAGAGAGAGAGAGAGAGAGAGAGAGACGAGGCAACTCGACACTTTCATCCTCAGCAGAATAGTCCTGAGAGGAGCCACAACTGGGTCAAGGCCCCACAGCTT